AGAGAGAGAGAGAGAGAGAGAGAGAGAGAGAGAGAGAGAGAGAGAGAGAGAGAGAGAGAGAGAGAGAGAATGAGCTTGGCTGCGTTTCCTCCGCTGGTCGGCGAGAGAAAATCATCACAAGGCAAAACTGTGACAATGATGCATTGGCGGGAAATGTTACGGGTTGCCGTCGGGCAGTTCACGGTTTTGTAGTGTTACAAATCTCAGTGGATAAGCTTAAGGATAATGAATAATATGACACAGAGTTTGATTATTATAGAATCATGAAGAAACACGGACAGACTCAGAACATAAATGACTATGTCGAAACTAAAAAAAAAAAAGGAAAGAAAGAAAGAGAGGCAGGCTAATTAATCAACCGGGTTAATTAGTAAGTCCGACTAATTAATCAACTCGGCATGGAGATATCCTTTCAATCCTGAAGTCAACCGCTCGTATGGAGTTCGTGTTTTTCTCTGAGATCTCTTTTTTTTTCCGAATTCGATCTCCAACCAATTAATCAACGGCTCAGCCAATCTACCCACAGCTGAACCACACGTACGGGGCAATCGCACGCACTTACGGGGGAAAGCGCCCGCACGTACGCGTAGTACGCGGAAAGCGCCCGCATGTAGGCGCAACTCCCGCGCGTACGGGAAAGGAACATCAAAAGCTCAAGCTTCCAGGTGTCTGTGATCTTTCTGCACGGCACACCGACGTCTTCGCATATGTATCGTGCAACTGAGAGATCGAATACCTTCCCCTCCGCTGCCCATTTCCTCCCTCTCTCTCTCTCTCCCTCTCTCTCTCTCTCTCTCTCTCTCTCTCTCTCTCTCTCTCTCTCTCTCTCTCTGCATGTTCACCCCTTTCACCTTCAGCTACTCAGCAAACGACCGGGCGACGGATCCAAACTTCCCTTACAATTCCCATTGCCCCTCTCTCCCTTCCCCCCGCCTCCCGGCGGCTCGGAGTCCCCGGCGTTTAGATGGGCACACCAGGCTTAGGATCCTGCCAGTAGTACACTTTGCGCCCATTGAGCGGCTGTTTTTTTCTGAAGTTCCCTGCCACCTCCCCGTGCAGTTCGTCGACTATCTCGTGGAATTTCTTAAACTGGAAGTCACATATGCCCAGAGGTTGTTTGAAGAAGTACCAAAGCAGTCCTTCTGTACAAGGAGGCACCGTCAAACTACCCGGGTAGTAGTGGAAGTAGGACCCATCCTCTGGGAATATCTCGTTCAGCGAAAACTGGTGCTTGTCCACTCCCGTGAGTCCCATCAGGTCGTCGTCCCCCTGCTGAATAACATCCGAAAATGCGGACAGCACTTTGCCCAGGAACTGGTTGCACCGGTTCTCCTTCGTCCGATTGAAGAACACCGCGAAGACGCCGACCAGAGGATTAGCAGCGGGGTTGGTCCTGGTATGCACGCAATGGGCCACCATGTCGTACCTCAGACCATCGATGGACTCCTCGGCTTTAGTGTGCAGATGGCACTGCCGCAGATTGAAGGTGGCTGCCTTGGGTGGCTCCTCCGTCGGGACGTAAGTCTCCGCAGGCCAAGTCAGCGACTTGTTAAATGGCGGCACTCGAAACATCGGCATGCGCAGCCTGTTGCCCTCGGGAAAGGAGATCTTGACGCTATGGTTGTCATTACTTAAGGTGACATTCAAAGGGATGGTGGGGTAATGAGATCGCTTGCGAAGGTCGCCAAGACCTGGGACAGGGACCGTCTGATTGGTAAGGATGTCGATGGGAGATTGAAAACGCAAGGTGGGTTTGGTGCAGTTGCCCCCCCAATCCCCCCCGAGGGCATCATAGCCATAAGAGGACTCGTCGGGACTATCTATGAGCTTGCGGAGCGAGGGGTCGAGATCCATCATGATGGAGTTGATATCTGGGTCGTTAAGATCAATGACACCATCTGGCAGTGCATCCATGTCCAGCTTGCGAATGGAGAGAGCTTGAGGAGGAAGGAGAAGAAGGAGCATGACAGCGAAGAGTAGAGGGTACACCATAGCTGCAACTGCCCTGCAGACTAGAGCGGCCATGGCTGCCCTGGCTTGTGGAGGTCCTCGGTGTACTACTCCTTGGATATCTAAGCATAAAAGAGACAGGCTAAGAGAGAGTGCGAGAGAGAGAGAGAGAGAGAGAGAGAGAGAGAGAGAGAGAGAGAGAGAGAGAGAGAGAGAGAGAGAGAGAGAGAGAGAGAGAG